GGAAGGAGAGAAGCAGGACTTAAAGACACTTCCCTGGAGGGAACTGTGAGGGAAGGAAACTTTAATTGACATAGTTTGCTTCTCTTTTTTCCCATTTTTATATTGATGGCTAGCATATTTCTAGGGAAATTAAACATTTTTTATCAGTACAATTTGGGTACCTTTATTCTACCTAATCCATTTTTAGGAATGGGTGACAGTAAGATAATGCCTGACAGGTGGAGATTTATTTTTCTTATGACACGAGAAGTCTAGAGTATTGATTAATTGCTCAGTGGCTGAGGGTTTTTATGGTTGTGACTCTAATTCTTGTGGCCTTGTCTTCATATTTGTTACTTTACTGTCTGTCCCCTCCCACCTGAGAAAACCAAAGCTTTCCCAGAACTGCCTCCATCCCCACCCTACCTAATATCCAGGAACTTTCTACTCAGGTCTCATTGGCTAGAAACAGGGCACCCCACAAGCTCTAACTGCAAAGGAGGCTGGGAGAGTGGGGACAGGGTTGTCAGAATAGGTCTAAACAGATCATGATTCACTGCTTGGAATTAGACACTGACTCTGTGCATTCTCAGAAATCTGTTTGCAAAGAAAGCGGGGGGCAAAGATGGGCAGTGGCCGGGCCGTTAGCAAAATGTCTTCTAAGTCAGCATCCATTTTACTATTCTTGCCTGTCTCAGTGGTAAGCACTTTTATTTGAAATAGCTTAATTATTGATCAAGACAAATTTATAAGTAGGTATCTCATCTTGTAGTTGAGAAAAATGAGGAAGCTAGTAGGTGATGGGGACATGATTCCAACTCAGGCCCTCTGATGTCATGCTGGTGCCCTCACCCACTTTTCCATAGTGATTATATTAGATCTAGAGACAAAGTGATTACCTGGCACCTCCTGAGAAAATGAAACATGATTTGTCAGACTTATTACTAGAGAGAAGACTCCGGAGTTTTCTCCATGCGAGTCCTGAGCTGAGAGTTTCTTGTCACAGCAAGTGACCCAGAATTTCCACGAAGCACAGCCTCTCTTCTGAGCCCCGAGACACTTTCATCTCTGTACCCATTTCAGGAATTCTATCTTGATCTTTTGTATCCTTCTGCCTGGGATCTCCTTTTTCTGTCAAATTATGGGCAAGTCCCAGGAAAGTATAACTCCTATAGTGTGGGTGACCCTGGCCATTTCTTGATTTGTGTCAATTACCCTTCTGTAATGAAATCTTTTCAAGAAACACACACAGTAAGTGTGCCTCCTTTCAGTGTTGGGGGGAGTTCACAGTTCACCCAGGATGCTGTTGCATATCTTCCACTCGGATGACGCTTACACTTGGTTTGAGGCCTGTCAGCTCTGGCCTGTGTGTCTAGCTGCACAACGGCAGAGGGTGTTGGTACTGGGCTCGCGTGTAAAGGGAGTTTAGCAGGACTCTCACAGAGGAAATCTAGAAGCCTCTTGTTTAGACTAGAGAAATGCTAGGGCATTCATTTTTTACCTCTGCTTTTTGGCTGTGGCAGACCTGGGCACACTGTGGTTAGCACAGTAAAATGCGATGCTCTCACACCTGTCTGTTGGTATTGGGGAAGCAGACACTCTTCCCCTTTAATCCCCCCAATATCAACACATACTCTTAGCACTGGTCCTTCTCCTTTCCAACCTCCAACACAGAAATGAAAAGACATTCCATGTATCTGACACATCATTAGCATTTCAGTGTAAGTGTTATCTGGTCTCCTCATAACCTTTCAGAATCTGAGACAGGTTTGGAGACCTTAGCACCACCCTCTAGAGCAGAGGTCAGCAAACTTTTTCTATAAAGGGCCAGATGGTCAATATTTTAGATTTTGCCGGTCATACGACTTGTCAAAAATACTCAACGCCATCTATAATATGTAAGTAAATGAGTATGGCTATGTTCCAATAAAACTTTATTTGTAGACTCTGAAATTTGAATGCCACATAATTTTCACATCCTAGAATCTTCTTCTTTTATTTCTTCCAACTATTTAAAAATGAAAAAAACCTCCTTATCTCATGGATTGTCAAAAAAAATTGGACTATGGGCTGTAGTTTCTTGAGCCCTGCTTTAAAGCACCTCTGTTTAATAGAATATTCTGTAATGATGGAAATGCTGTATAACGTCAAACACTTGAAATATGGCTAATGCAACTGAGGAGCTGAATTTTTAATTCTAATTCATTGAAATTGAAATCTGATTTTAAAGAGCCACCTGTGACTAGTAGCTATTGTATTGGACAGTCCAGAGCTCTGCTGTTTATCTGAACAAGATTCAAAATTTCCAGTTTTTGTGTCTTTTAGATTAGAATTTTAACTTCCTGGAAGAAAATGTCTGGCCTAGTTAGGGCAAAATCACATAATGTAATAGACACTTGGCTTCTAGGAGTTCCCCTGTTGGTTGGGGTCAAGAGGTGGTGGTTCCTGCAGAAGAGAGCCTGAATATACAACACAACATGGGTTTGCTACAATTTCCTGAAGTCTTGCATTTCAAAAAGAGGTCTCTAATGGAAAGGAAAGGAATGATTTCAGAATGACACACTGTTGGTAGAATCAGCGCAGGAGAGAGATTTTGTGGCCGTACCTCATAATTCATGCTGCAATGTTGACTTGTGTAACCCCAGGCCTGTTAGAAAATATAACTTATCATTTTAAAAGATGCTATTTGTGTAGTTGGTCAACAAGCATTATAAAGCACCTGCTATGTTCTAGGCACAGTGCTAGGTGCCCTTCACAAACTGTTTCAGATTTATTTTTCATCTCATGAACATTCTCACACAAAATGCTGTTTTATGAAGAATTAAAATGAAATTAAATGACCTTATCATGAAAATATTATGGATTATTATTCTGTTACAGAGGGCATTTCAAAACTATATTATGAAAAAGTTAAGACTTGAGCCTTATGTCAACGTCTGAAACTCTGAAAAAGTTTATTGACATTCAGAGCTTTGTCTTTACAAATTAATGGCATGTTTACCAACTTAAGCTGCTGGTCATTCTTACCTGCTATTGGGAACCCCTTACCACCTCTGGAATGTCCTTATTTGTGTATGATGGGTGTGTGGAGATGGGGATACTAATTCTGAGTGAGAAATCGGGTAAGGCACCACTGACATTTCATTTAAGACTTAGTAGTAGGAAGGTGCAAGTTAGGAAGGTTTGGGAGTAGAGATTACTAGGAACAGCAATTGTAGAAGCTCTAAAGCAGGAATGAGCTTTCTTTGTTAAAGGAAAGGAAGGTGGCCAGAGGGGCTTGGAGTATAATGTAGCAGGAGGACACTGAGAGGTGAATTCTGAGGGCGGGCAATGGTCAGATCATGACACAAGGCATGTTAAGCACAGACCCAGGAAGGGATCTCATATTAGCATACAGTAGACATAAGTGACATCACTGACTTTGAAGACTCAAGGCTGTTAGTTTATGGCTGAGTTGAAGGTGAGGGATCAGCCTTCATGAATGGACATGCATCCAGCTGAAATAGAAAATAGGTTTATAGAATCATGTCCCCAGTTTCCTTTAAGGTATTGCAGACTAAGTAGTTCAGAATGAAATGTCTCATACGGAATGCAGCAGAGGGATCTGGCTGTCCAGAAACCTCTGACTATGTGTGAATTAGAATGCTGGTAAATTGAAGGACTCAGATGACCAAGAGATACTAGCATATCAAATCACAGAAGATGTAGAGCTAGGATATCTGACACAATTTGCTCTGAACAGAAATCAACAAAAATGCTAAAGAACTAGAAAGTAAAACAACAAACAAATCAAAACAAATGTACAAACCTATGAACTCTCTAGAGCCCCAAAGAAGCTGAATATGCCACTTAGTCTGTAGTCTGGTTGCTGGAGCCTGGCACAGCAAACCAAGGGTTTGAATCAGAATTGGTAGAGGTGCCATTACCACAGTGTTTTAAATTTCTATGAATGAAAGAAAAAATAGGATTCCATGATAGAGATAGTTCACTTATTTCATTATTAATGTTTGGAAATATACCTATGAACAAGGAATTTACAAGGTAGTGTTTTCCATGGAGGACATTGAAACCATTTTGAACACATTTATTTGTGGTGGTAAAGTGGGGATGACAATTATTACTGAAAAGGCAGGCATACGTGACTATGGAGACAGAATGTGACTCTAAAGAACCTGTTCAAATCCATCAACCCTGTCGTACAGGCCACTGGTTTGAGGTTTCTGCTCAGTTTTTGAACACTGGCACAAAGGTGGTGTGATGTCACCATCAGATGTAACTTACTCAGTTCATGATGGGTATCAAAGTTATTAGAAATCACACTTTAGAGAATACAGACTTGGTGTTACAAAAAATGTTTTTTAATTTATGAAGATGCAAAATTTTTATTGCTAACAATAACAGTGGCTTAATAGTATGTAATACAGAAAAGTACTATAATCCCCAGAAAATTTTATCGAGACTTTAAGGCCTTTTTATGGTTATTTGAGGAAAGATAAGGTAACAATGCATATTTTCCAAGAACTTTAAATTTAAAGCTTAAGAATTCCCAAGTTTTAAGTTGTTAATGAGGTCAGTTAGATATTTTGTGTATCTGATTCATCCCAACCATTCTACTTTACTTTTAACCATTGAAGAAGCTTCTTGATGACATGAGATGAGCATAAATGTGGTAAAGGAAAGGGGTTGCAAAGGCAGTGAATGTGGACTTGTAGTGTGGGTGTGGGGAGACGTGATCCATTTTCCAGACTCCACTGTATCTTTCTGTTTCAAAGATATAATTGGAAATTAAAAAATAAGCCACTATACTTAACTCAAGCACAAATGATAACTGTGGCCCAGGGATAAGATGTGATTTTTATTGTATAAATATTAACTATCATTCTCTTTCTAGCGAGGCTATTTCACTGTACCTGCTGAGCTGTATAATTTCTTGTAAGTTTCAAAATAAAACAAAAAATAAAACAACCCACTTCAGTTCTGCTTCTTCTAATTAAATTATATCTTATATTACATCTTTGCAGCTGAGTAATCACCAGCCAGTGCCTTCGGCCCTAGACGGTGTAGCTTAAGAGGACCATTTCTCCTGGCATTGCGATGTTGATCAGCCTTGCTTCCTCCCATCAGATACACTTGGCCTTTTCTGGTAAGCCCAGTTCTCATATATCTCTGAGTCCCAAAGGCAAGCCAGGGATGAAAAGTCATTTTTCTGCAGTATGACAGAATGAAGCCCTACATAGAGATACCTACTCTAACTTCTTTTAAAAAGTGCTTACTTGACTGTAAAATAACTCAATTTTAGAAAATGCTCTTTTCCTATTCCCATAATCTTAGGCGCTTTCTTTTAGCACCATGCACATAGTAGTAGAAGTAAAGTGTGAACGGTGAAAATACCACCTGAGAAATGAATTATGGTTAAAATAATTGTTGAAGGAGAGCGAAGGTGATTCGAAGCCCACGCAGTTCTAACCCTCTGCTTCCCCCTAAAGGAGGATTCTGCCAGGAACACCATATGATATAATCAGGGGGGAGGGAGGCTTTCCAAAGACCGCTGAGCACTTATATTCTGGTAACCAGGTCATGTCCTATCCTATTCCTGTAATCTTTTTTGACAAACAAGAACAAGTTTTCTTCACCTTTTGGACATCAGGGAAATCTGATGCCCCCAATATTGACTTTTTAATGTAATTGCAATCTCATTTGATGGAATTTCGAACAAATAGGAGTAACAGTCCTGGATGTCAATTCGAATATATGCCCATTAAAAGACTTGGTGATGCAAATACACGTACACACGTACAAATACTCTTTTGGAATGGAATGAAGTGATTCTGATGGTTTTAGATTCTTCTTTAGAAAGATCATCAATTATTTAAGTTTTGAATGCAGCCCTCCAGGGGAGAATGTAACCTATAAGTGGCTGAGATTTTCAATTATACCTAGTCATTTGTCAAATGTTCACTTCACTTAGCATGAATGTTTATTGATAATTTTTATAGTCTCTAGGTTACGATGTCTGATCTTTTTGATCACTTTTTTCTTTTAATATTTATACCTTCAGATATAATTAGTGATTGCTTATCAATTTAAAAAGCTACTTAATAGCCTTTAAATATGCATTTGTAAATGTCCTTGGCTGGTTTGAATGTCTTTGTGTGTGTGTGTGTCTGTGTCTGTGTATGTGTGTGTGTGTGTGTGTTTGTGAAGTTCTTCCTAAATAGCCACAATACTAGAATAAAGCATTTAAGACTGGCTTAAATATACAAACTGTTCAGTTCAAACCTATGTAAATTATCTTGGGTTCAATTATGTTATTCCATCTGTTTTTATCATCTGTTGTTACAATACTTTATCATTTCTACATGGTATTAAAATGTAAATGAATCTAGAGGAAACACATCTGTGGACGGTTAGTTAATAAAACTACATTCGGCAAGTGAGCTGTCATAATAATTAATTAAATTTCACTGCCCATATACGCTTGTAATTGTATATTTAGTGTTTATTTGCATAATCACATAATGGGATCTATATGATTTATGCTTTGTTGAGCATAATCTGTATACACAAATTACCACTTCCTATACACAAATTACCATTTCCAAACGAGTTACTGAATTTTATTTTATTTATTTTTATACAGCAGGTTCTTATTAGTTATCTATTTTATCCATATTAGTGTATATATGTCAATCCCAATCTCTCAGTTCATCCCACCACCCACCCCTCCCCCGTGCTTTCCCCCCTTGGTGTCCATACATTTGTTCTCTACATCTGTGTCTCTATTTCTACCTTGCAAACTGGTTCATCTGTACCATTTTTCTAGGTTCTACATATATGCGTTAATATACAATATTTGTTGTTCTCTTTCTGACTTACTCTGTATGACAGTAGGTTACATATTCTTAAAGTTCAGCAAAGTAACAGACTGAAAAGACAATTCAGGTTACAGACAAGTCCTGGCTTTGTTCTTTGAAATCCTGCTTTTAAAAGTGCACTGGTATTGTATTTAGTAGTTTTTGATCAGGGAAAGATTTGCTCTTTTGAAGAGGTCGTGTGAACAGGTTAGATTAGGTATTGTTCTGAGCCAGGTTATATTTTAGGACCCCACATATAAGAATTTTTGATTCACTAATATTCCAGTTAGTCTAATCCCACAAATAATTGATTCAATTTTTCAAAATGGAGCCTAGATAGTTGTTTTAGGACCATATCCTGGGGCAAAATTGTGCATACTGGCCTTAAACTCTTAGATGTATACAATTTACAACATTTGCTGAAGGTGACAGGGGACACTTTTCAGGAGTGACATACTGTAAACAGCAGGCTCTAGACACAATCTGTTTCGAGCAATGACCACCTCCACCTCCTCAAAACCCAGTCCTCTCCAGTTGCCCTGTGTTGAGCTGATCAAAATAACGCACAGCAAGTTTTGAGTGACAAAGGCTTAACCTCTCAGGTTTATCTGCGTATTGAAATTGAAGCTTTTAATCAATTAGATTTTAAAGATGTCAGTCTGCTCTAACCACTCCCATGCCTGCTACCATTTCCTGCCCCCCTCAGTGCATCAAGTTCAAGTTTAAAGTTCTCAGTGCATTTAGCATTGCCTGTCAGGTCCTTCATCATCTGATCATCTTGGCTTTCCTCTTCTGCCTTCCTCATCTCTCACAGTTGTCCGTCTATGACTTAAGAACAGGTGAGCACAGGTTGAGTATTATTTTTTTTAAATTGAGAAAATGGTGTCAGAGACTAGAGTGTTTCAGTCTCACAATTATATTCTTCCCTGTGCTAATGCCAGATTAAGGAGTAGGTCAGTTGGGTGGCTGTTCCAGGTACCAGTCACTTGAAAATGCTGAAATGTGATTGGAACAAATGAGAAATATGGAACCAGTTAACTCATGTATCTAAGTGCAATACCTTTAATAACCGGACAAAATTAAAAAGTGCCCCTTATTCTGCCGAAGGAGATTGTGCCCTTGAGTGAAAATAAAAACGCAGCATGTCACAGGTGCTCCGCACTGGTTTATCCACTGAGCACTCTTCCAATGGGCAGAGCAGATTCAAGCTGCAAGTTGAAGAGCTAGGGCAGGCCACCAACCCAGAGAACAACCAGAGGCACAGTTTACTGAAATTCCAAAGGAAATCAAACATTACTAATCATTAAGAATGAGCGGGTTTGTTTTGGTATTTACATTTTAAACTCTTTTTGGAAAATATATGCTCCCTCCTTAAAAAAAAAAATTCTTCTCAAAAATTTAAGAAAAACTTGCACGTAGAACAAAATCTATAGAAAAGATGGAAATACTTTGTTGCCCTGGAAATAAAAGAACATAAACATTTTAAACATATTTTGAAAAAGCCTAATTGGGAAAAAACTCTCTATAATTCATGACATTTTCAAATAAGTTAAAATGCGATATCACATCAGTGCATTTAACAATTACTTATTTTGAACATAAGGAAGAGACGTGATTTTGATTAAAATAACATGTTTCTCCCTGTCTCTGCGAAACATTGAACCCTCAGTTTCCTTCTGTGTCTCCTTGTCAGCAGGAACAACTCCTCCTCTCCTACGTAGCCTTCTCTCTTTTTAAAACTTTTAATTCTGAATTAATTTCAGACTTACAAAAACTTGCAAAAATAGTACAGAGTTCCTCATACACTTCAGCCAGCTTCTCTGTGAATAATGCTTCTGACAGTACACCATTGGTAGACTCATGGATGACTTACTCAGCCTAAAGTGATCCCACACAAGAGCATATCTGACAGAGGAAATCGTTTCACAGCACAAGTGAGCCTGTGGGCCACGGAATCCTCTAGTTATAATTTACCCTGTAACCCAGAAAAAGTTGGCTTCATAGAACAATGGAATGGCCTACTGAAAACTCATTATGGCTCCAGCTGGGATATGATGCCCTGCAAATTGGTGATGCTGTCCTACAAGATGCCACGCATGCTTTGAATTGGCAGCTAATATAGAATGTTCTTTCTCCCATAGCCGAATCCAAGGGGTAGGAGTAGGAGTTATTCCTCTCACTGTTATATCTAATAATTCCTCCCTTCCCCACAACTCTGGTCTCTAATGACTTTTGATTTCATTCCCACAACCTTGATTTCAGATGTTTCAGAAGTTTTTGTTACTAGGGGGGAAGGCTTCAATAGGGGTATGGAGGGGTGGCATAAAGATGGTTTCCGTGTGTTGAATTGGAGTTGAAGTTACCACTTGGCCACATTGGGCTCTTCATGTCACTGAACCAGTAGATGGAAAAAGAGGTTACTAGCCTCTTTTAGTCTAGTCTCAGCTAGTCTTAGTCTACTAGCTGAGAAGACTGGTTCCAGTTGACAAGGGAAAGTTGGATTGCTCTTCCAATGGAGATGCCTGGGACCCAGAGTATTCACTGGGCACTTAGGACTTTCAGATAGAATAAAAAAAGTTAATGTGAGACCAGAACAATCCAGTAAAGGCTGGACCACTAAAGGCTGAGCTTCTTCAGAGAAGAATGTGTAGGTCACTCCGCCAGGCAGAGAATCTCTACCGCCAAGGTGTTGGCTAAGGGCTAAGGGCAAAGGGAACATGGAATGGACGGTAGAAGAAGGATGTGTTAAAATAGTAACAATCACTCATGATCAGTTACTAGAAGGAAGACCAGAAAAGATATGCATATTTTATATATGTGTGTGTGTATTAATATGTATAATGAATACGAGTTCTGTGTATATTGAGAAAGAAGAAAAGCAGCCTCCGTCATCTGGTAGCTGGTCTGCTGCTCACAGCTAGCCCAAATTATTCTCCTGTTGGATATAAACAGTTTCACAGAACATCAATATCAGACAAGGTCAGTCTGAGACCACAGTGAAGTGAGACAAAAGCAAGGCCACTGAGCCAGCCACAAACAACCAAACATCCTCTTCTCCCAGATAATAAGAGTGACTGCTGCTGCTTTTTCAGTTTCAGATTTATCCTCGTTCTAGTTTACCGCCATTATAGATAAGATTTTTTGAGTTATCCCATCATAGATGGCTTTCTGACAGCGCTCAACCTAAGGGGAACCCCCACTTCCTCAGAGCATCCTCAAATCACCCAGCTAAAGCCCGAGTCCTACCCTGTAACAGGTTATCTTTCACACCACCGTACCAAGTCAACTC